ACTACGGCCCTTATGACTACGAATCGTCTCGTCAGCACGGAGACAGAGCCTCCCAATCGCAGGACCCTTCCCAGTTCTCGCAAGCCTCGGTCGATCGCAACAGAATCGTCAAGAAGCGAATACTGAACTACGATTTAGAGTTCGATCAGTCCATATGGAAGACCATTCCCGACGGTATGAGTTCTCTGGAGATCATTGTTCATCATCTGCCTCTATTTCTGCTATCTGTTTGTCCTGGACCTAATCCAAAGCGTCTTCTTCAGCCCAAGCACTTGTAGCTCGGCTTCTCATCTACGACTATCAGCAACGTGCCACTGTCTACGGCGCTATGCGCAGTTCTTGGATTCGTTCGGACTTGGAACACCTAGAAAATGCCTATCGCTCGCGGATCTCAGCTTCTTGAGGCGACCTGGAACCGCACTCTGGCCAATGGACCTTCTGCTTTGTTCGGGATTCCTTCGTCCGCCCTGTTTCCAACCTGTCCAAGGCCTGGGTTCCGCCGGGTCCGTTTCATGTATCGTATCCATATGCTATTGTACATCCGTATTACCTGTCTCAAAATCGCTTCTCGTTATAATCGGACTGCTCCTATAAAACCCCATCTACTACGCATTGGCTTACAGCTCACAGGACTTCTGCTACTTTCACGCCGCTTATTACCCGCCATCTATGAATGACTGTCACGCTTTCAGGAAGTTCGCGTGGACTGCAAAAGTTTTTCATCCGTGGTTACGACGTGTCAGATCTGCGGGACTGCGCACTCACAATGAACGTGGTCAGAGGCAAATGTGGACATCTAAGGGTTTCAAGCAGGTAAGCGGGAGAGGCATTACAATGGGCACGGCGACTTACGAAATAGTAGCTGTGATCGTATCCATCTTGCGGCCTTACACGGACTTGCACCTCATCATGGCCAGCATCGCGGGCAGCCTTCAGGAAGTTCTCCGGAAGAAGCTGACCCTGCTTATAGAAATTGTCACCAGTACCCTGTAGTGAAATGGTTAGCCCTGCGCTCTCTAGTTCGCTTATGCAGCCATCGTACATAATCGATCAAAATGTGGACGTTGTCCTTGATCCTTGAGATCATCTCCGTGGCATCATGGTTGGCCGCAGCCTCTTCAACGCCACCCTGAAAATAGCCCTTGAATGCTTTCTGACCCCAAGGGCATTTGGTGGGGTTAGCAACGGGCGCAAAGGCGGAGGCCGACCGGAACTGCTTAGTCTTCGGACTGTTCGTCAAGGCGCCAAGGTACAACGTTAGGGCACCATGTCCGCCCATCGAATGGCCAAAAATAGACTGTCGTGTGAAGTCCTGAAATTATGGAACCCGATACCATTCAGCCTCCAAGACAGCGGGTTCAGTCTTGCAGACTCACTACCGGGATGCCGGCAGCCTCAATGACTTGCGGGAGCTCCAAAGTAACGTGCGTAGCCATGTTGTAATGTTTCGCATACTTGGGGTGCGTCGCATTCAGGTAAAATCCAGCACCTGCCCAGAAGGTCAGAAGCCGAGAGACATTTGATAATCGTCGATATATAAACCAGTTCCGAAGTCCCAGTCGTCATCCTCGCCCTCGATTCCAGCTCCTCGGGGGGACGTGTCCGGGAAAATGAGGGCGATACCCTCATCAGCGGCTTCCCTGAGGAAACCGCCTTTCTGGGTCCTGGCGCATTTAAGGCGTTCGCGTCAACCGAACGATACCCGAGAAACCTAACATACCCGTTATCTTCGGTGCATGTCAGGCCGGCAAGATAGAACAGGACAGGCACTTTCCCTTGGGAAGCATTTGCTGGAAGAAAAAGATTGAACTGAGCGTCAAGACCTCCTAGCGCCGCCGACTAGATGCGATCAGCCGCGGTGTATGCATGACACCGATGAACGTGCAATAGATCGCCCATACCTTGAACTTGTACTTGGTCAGCATGCCACCGAAGGACTTGCTGGCAGAGAGGGTCTCGAGAGACATTCTGAGAAAGCGGTAGAGCGTCGTGGTTGACGGCAAGAAACGCGAGGGAAAGTCTTCGGTCAGTGGGCAGTCATAGGATTAGCCACTCCGCCTATTCCGACACTGGTCCGTTTGGATGAAGTCATTATCGCGATTGACACTGTGGCTGTGCACTCCGGCCGGCAAATATCTTGATTACGTACGCCAGCACGTCTGCACCAATCACAGTGGGTCCCGAGCCTAGAAGTTGTCCGCTTCATCTCCCCGTCCCCGCGATTTTGCTGTCGACACTCCTGGAGACATCGGACTCTCAGGCCACGGATATTAATCTGTCGTAATTGGAGTAGGACGAGCTGCCGCAGGCTGATCCGGTCAACTTAAATAACCTTCTGGCTCTTCTTGCGTCGCAACCACGTCAAGCGTATGCCCAAGAGGAGCTGAAGCGCTGAAGACCGGATACCAGTCACCGTCGTTTGGTGTGATGTGTTCCGAAACTGCACGATTTGAGTGCGTCATAGATTTCTCTGCCTTAAGAAAGTCCTTCTAAAGCCGATATCTTAATTTCGCGACGGAGAAGGCAGCAATCCAATGACTGCTATCATTGCAAAACATTCGGACCCGTTAGCGCCACAATAACAATCCTGATTCAGTTAGCGCATTGTCTCCGAGCCAGATACAGTCGTAATTAACGAGGCCAGTGGTTGGTTGCTGCGAGTGCGGCACATCGGTGATACACCGCGCAAACATGATGCTTGGTTCTGCGCTCATGTTCAAATATCGGGAGATCTGAATTCTTGAATTCTTCAAAAGGCCGACCTTGCACGCCGTACGCCGTTATCTCGGTAATGGCTCTCCCCTTGGACATCGCACAAGCACCGTCATTATCGACTTATGGAATAGCAATTATCATTGCTATTCTTCTCTATATTGCCAAGATATCCAGCTTTAAGCAGAGATGTGTAGGTGCTAAGCGTGCACATAAGATATGCGCATGATCTAATGCACATTCAGCTTGACAGGATACCTACCGTTGGCGGACCCTCCGAGCCTATCGTTTCCTACATCGGAGCGTTCAGATTTGTACGTGGCGCGAGGGACTTGGTCCACCAGGGTTACTCTCGAGTAAGTCACCCTTTCTTAAAGAGAAGGCGTAGACAAATCCAATTGACCGGATATTCCAGTACCGAGGCGGGGTCTTCAAAATTGCTAGGCCTGACCGATGGCTGGTTGTGGTGACTGGCCCGAAGCTGATGGAAGAATTTCGAATGGCTCCAGATGATGTTCTGTCCTTTGTGGAGGCTACAAACGATGTGAGCGACCTTCTTCGGGACACAGCGTTCACCTTTTCTGACCGCACATCAGACTCTCGCCATAGCATACACCTTGGGCCCCAACATCCGAGAGAACGAATATCACATCCCCATTATTCGTACCCAGCTTACGCGCCACCTAGGTCATGCTTTTGACGATATGCATGACGAAGTAGCCGCTGCTTTTAGCGATGAGGTACGGCCTGGAGGCAACGGTGAGCTATCATTTTCAGTTACTCATATGTGACATCTAACGGGACAAGCGTAGAATGGATTGAGATACCCGGTCTCGAAGCAATGTCTAGGATAATTACTCGCGCCACTAACCGCGCCTTTGTTGGCCTCCCGCTCTGTAAGGATAGTATCCAGTTTTCCACGTCCTGGATACTTAGCTCCGTGATGCTTTCAGGTCGTAATCGGGGGTACATTGACCTGTGCATAGGGTTCACCATAGATGTCGCACTTGGCGCCTTCATAATCAATATGTTCCCCACATTCCTAAGACCGTAAGTCCACTCAGTCGAGATACGCAATATCGGTAATGACCACTCACGTTTTTCGCAGGTTGGTCGGTCGCGTATTGACGAGGGTTCCTGGGACCATAGGAAGAGGTGTGGAATACCTTGGCCCAATAATCGAGGACAGACTCCAGAAGATGCAAGAGAACGGCAAGGACTGGGCGGAGAAGCCGGTGAATTCCGTTCACTCGGGTTCGCGTCAGGCTATCATACTGACACGTCGCCATCTATTCAGAAAGACCTCATAACATGGTTAATCGAAGATGCACAGGGAGAAGAGCGGACAGTGCGGAACTGGGCACTTCGAATTCTGACAGTCAACTTTGCTGCAATCCACACTACTTCCTCGGTGCGTGGAGCTCTACCTCTTCAAATCCGAAGCTCTGACAGGACCCATGGTTACAGTCGTTCACGCATGCCCTGTTCCACCTCGCTGCGAATCCACAGTACATCCAGCCTCTTCGCGAAGAGGTGGAGGATATTGTTGGCAGAGAAGGATGGAGCCGAGCGTCATTGCAGAAGATGCGGAGGATCGACAGTTTCTTGAAGGAATCCATGAGGTACAGCGCGCAGGGTTGCCGTACGTCACTTTAGTTCTTTGATGATATCCGGGACCGCTGAGTCTACTTCGCTGCAGTGTCTATGAGCAGGAAAGCCCTGAAGCCATTTACCTTCTCCGACGGGACCGTTATTCCACCCGGTGTCTACGTGAACGCCGCTCAGGCTGCCACTCACCACGACGAGGAGTACTACCCGGACCCCGACGTCTTCGATGGCTTGAGGTTCGCGAAAGGGGAAGGTGAAAGCAGTAAGCAACACCTAACATCGACTGGGAATGACTACGTCCCCTTCGGGCATGGAAGACATGCATGGTGCGTCTTCCACTTTGACCACTTTGTCAGCCCGTGCTTATAGGTCCACAGCCCTGGCCGATTCTTCGCTGCCAACACTATGAAGACTATGTTGGCACATCTTGTCGTGGCATATGACGTGAAGCTGGAGAATGAAGGAGTTCGGCCACCCGACAGATGGTTCGGCCCCGTCTCTAGTCCCAACGCCAAAGCCAAGGTTCTGTTTAGGAAGCGACAGGTGTAGCGATGAGTGCTGGACAGTAGCTAGATGCCGATTGTGTGTACAACCATAGACTTCGTCCTTAAATGCAGAGACTTGGCTCTGGTGGCAAAGAGCCAACGCCATTGCGAGGGATATTCGATGAGGAAGAAAAATGGACACTCGGAGGATTGAACTCCGGTCCTCACGCAGATTCCGTTACATAATCAGATTACGCAACGGTAATGCGAAGCGTGCGCGCTACCACTGTGCCAAGTGCCCTTGCAATTTTGTTGAAGTTTACGGTATATGTATGCACTTTGCTATTACATACGGAGCTTGAGGGCCCGTGCTGACTCACCTGAAATGTGTCATGGATGTCCCGACCGACAAGATGAGCCCACACAAGGACGCGTGACGTGGCGCGTGAGTCGTGACGCGTGACGCCAGCTGTCCTGTGAGCGGAAAAGCTTCTCAAATGTGTGAACACTTCCTTGATCATCGGAATGCAGCAGCCTACAGCAGAGGTGCGTTGACCATTCTGTACGCTGTTCAGGCTCTAATGGTAATTAATGGTAGAATGATATTGATGGCGACGCTTAAAGCTTACACCGAGGGCTCCCCTATACGCTCAGGTGGTATGATTTTTCTCGTAAACTCGTAACCATGAATCCGGAATCACTTATTGGTCCCGCGTAGGCGTGTGGATCCAAGCCCCGCTAAAAGAGTGCTCGCTCTCAGACCACCTACCATCCTTCCCTGATCATCATGCTGGACGCGTCCTTCGTATACGGAGCGACCGGGGTAGCGCTGTTGTCGTTTCTGCTCTTTAACTTCTTCAATAAAGACAGGCGTGCTGTCAGTCCATCCATATATATCTGGTTGTGGTCAATATGCTAACATCTGCATGAAGCTCGATGCAATACCCACCATTGGTCCTTCGGGACCCCTCGTCTCGTATATTGGCGCGTTCCGGTATCTCTACGATGCGCCTGGTATGATACAGGAAGGTTACGACAAGGTTGGTATGCTTTACACGTACTGGACACATCAACGTTGCTGATTGTGATATTCCGCGCCCTGGAAGTTCAAGGGCCGAGCGTTTAAGATAGCCAAGATGGACACTTGGCTGGTCGTAGTTAGCGGGTCCAAGCTAATTGACGAAGTCCGCCGTGCACCTGACGACGTCCTGTCGTTCGCTGAAGCGATCAACGATGTACGTACGCAACTCCTGTGTCGTTGAGCTGTTTGATAGATCAAGGATCAGACCGTATCTATTGAGTACACGTTAGGCCCGAATGTTCACACCAACGAATATCACATTCCAATCGTACGATCGCAATTGACCCGGAGCCTCACCTCGATATTTCCAGAGGTTAAGGATGAGGTCTTTACTGCTCTGAACGAAATCATAGCTCCCAAGGGAGACGGTGGGTTCCACCTTAAGTCCTAACAACTTCGTATGACCCATCGTTGTGATCAGAATGGCTTGCCCTTCCAGCCCTCGACACCGTCATGCAGGTGGTTTGCCGTGCTTCCAACCGTGTCTTTGTCGGCCTGCCTCTTTGTGAGTCGTCATTTTATGTTCTCCTTATTACAACGTACGATTGTCAATCATCAGGTCGCAATAAGGACTACTGCAAAGCAAACGTTAATTTTGCCATCGACGTGATGGCTAGCGCCTTCTTTTTGAACATGTTCCCGCGGATTATGAGACCGTGAGCATATCTCGTCACGATTAGCAAGGAGGGTGCTGTAACCTCCATGAGCAGGGCGCTCGGGAATATGCTCACGCTTGTACCTCGGACCGTTCGTCGCATCGAGAAGCATCTTAGGCCAATAATCGAGGATAGGCTCCGCACGATGGAAGAGTATGGCGACGAATGGACGGACAGACCTGTACGTAGTTGTTATATTCACATATCCACCAGCTTAATCGTTCAACACGTACCAAAAGAATGATATGCTGCAATGGCTCTTGGAGGACGCCGAGGGTGACGAGAGAACAGTGACCAACTGGACCATACGCATGATGGTAGTCAACTTCGCCGCCATTCACACTTCTTCCATGGTACCATGATCGACGTCTTGTTTCACATATGACTGACCGACCAATATAGAGTTTTACTCTGGCTCTCTTCCACCTCGCCGCCAACCCTGAACACTATTTGGGTCCCATGCGGGAAGAAATTGAACGTGTGGTCGAGGAGGAAGGATGGAGCAAGGCTTCTATGCAGAAGATGCGCAAGCTCGACAGTTTCTTGCGTGAGTCGCAAAGACTTACCGGTCTTGATGCTCGTGCGTTCTTCACTCTCGTTTGTTTGATTGGCACTTATTCCAACATTCACAGTCGCCATGACCCGCAGGGTCATGAAGCCCTTCACCCTATCTGACGGAACCAAGATACCTCCTGGAGTACACCTCGCTTGCGACGCTCAGGGAACTCATATGGACGACGAAAACTATCCGAGTGGTGCTGTCTTTGACGGGTTCCGGTTCGCCAACATGCGCGACGGCGATGGCGAGAGCACCAAGCACCAATTCGTCAGCACTACGACGGACTATATACCATTCGGACATGGGCGGCACGCGTGGTATGTTCAGTGGGCTGGCATTGCCCCCTCTCTGCCTGACTGACAACCCTTGCTTTACAGCCCTGGCCGGTTCTTCGCCGCGGCGGAGTTGAAGGCCATGATGGCTCACTTGGTCATGAACTACGACGTCAAGCTTGAAGCCGAAGGCGTGCGGCCCAAGGACCTGTGGCTATCCACGTCCCGGTCGCCCAATCGTACAGCGAAGGTCTTGTTTAGGAAGCGGCAGCTATAAGCACCCTGGCAACATTGTACTATAATACCTCCCTGTCCCGTGATTTGGAAATTCAGCTCTCTCCTACGGATGGTATGACTGTCTGAGGGGAAAGGCTTCATTCTGACCGGGATGGACTGCTCCGTGGATGACAATTTGTTTCTTACGTGTCCGGCTTTTCATTGACCGTCGAAAAGAAGCCTGCTGGAATTGATATTGGGGAACTTTATTACGTTGTTTGGTGGAGAGGTGAGCACCTAATTGAGAGATCGTTCGAGCGGGAATTGATCGTCGCCCATTGCTTGGTGCAGCCCCTGCCTCGCCATTGCGGGCAGGTCACACGGATGATTTCATGTTCCTTCGGTGATCAAGCTCAAGCTAAGAACAAAAGCACTCGTGAGAACACCACGATAACTCAAAGCCAACACCCAGGGAGCGATTGACCAGCGCAGAGAATTTTGACGGGGCTTAGTTTAGCTATCGCTAAGGCCTATATAAAAACCGCGATAGCTACCCGGGTATCATCTCGAGACACCCCAGCATTATGGCAGAGACTCTGGTTTATGGGGTAGCAGCAGTCTTCGTAGCGTATGTGTTGTACGCTGCGTACTTCAGCCCGACGCAGCGTCTGGTAAGTTCCATGACGCTGTCGCTTCGATTCTAATGGACTTAGTTCTCATAGTTGGCGAGAATACCCACTGTGGGAGGGCCTTCCGGTCCTATGACATCGTACATCGGTGCCATGCGGCTTCTGAAGAACAGCCCTCAGGTTGTTCGTGAAGGATACGAGAAGGTGATGACTTCGATCATACCTGATGAGTTTCACCTGATAATACCGTATCCCATAGTTCAACTTGAAAGGCAGCCCGTTCAAAGTTGCAGACTTGAATCGGTGGATAATAGTTGTCAGTCCTAGGCTCATCGACGAAGTCAAGAATGCACCTGAGGATGTCCTCTCGTTTTCTGGTGCGACCAACGACGTACGTACCCATACCCTCATCAGACTCTACATACTCAGGACGAACATTTATATAGTTGATCTCTGTTGACTACACCCTGCGGCTCAACAAAGCGGCGGCTCGACGTAACGACTACCATCTGGGCATTATTCGGAGCCGTCTCACGCGCAACCTGAATACCCTCTTTCCGAATGTTCATGAGGAGATCGTAGCAGCGTTCGCTGATTTGGTGGCACCCAACGGAGACGGTAAGCTATTAGCAGTCTTCCAGACTCGCTGTGATGATTCACGTCGTTCTTAGAGTGGGTGAAGCTGCCTGCACTGTCCACTAATATGCAGATAGTCTGCAGGGTGAGTAATCGTGCGCTCACGGGAGCATCCTTGTGTAAGATTTCGCAGGATCTTCGCGATACATTGTGGCTGACGTAGACTCCGAGCATGCAGGTCGGAACACGGACTATGGGCGGATCGCCGTGAACTTCACGCTCGATGTCATGAAGAGCGCCCTGTTGCTGAGATTCTTCCCTCGGTTCATAAAGCCGTATGATTATGTCTTCGGTCTATTCAGCCTGCGATTGACACTGCGCGGATAGAGCTGTTGGCAGCCGACTGCCGCTCGTACCTCGCACCGTAGCAGCGGCAGCAAGTCACCTCCGGCCACTAATCGAGGAAAGACTGCGGAAGATGGAAGAGCACGGTAATGACTGGACAGACAAGCCAGTACGCCTAACGGTCTTCACTGTGGCTATTCCTAACCCAGGGACAGAACGACATGCTGCAATGGTTCCTTGAAGATGCGGAAGGTGAAGAGCGTGACCTCGAGCACTGGACCATGCGGATTCTGCTCGTCAATTTCGCCTCTATCCATACGACGTCCATGGTACGTGATAAATACATGGTCTTCAAATGCGTATCCGTGTGAATGTATTCAATGCGCTTGTCCCCCGCTACAGGCATTTACGCAAGCTCTCTACTTCCTTGCTGCGAATCCAGAGTATATACAGCCGTTGCTAGAAGAAGCGGAAGCGGTTATCAAGGAAGAAGGCTGGTCTAGAGCGGCTTTGCAGAAAATGTGGAGGATAGACAGTTTCTTGAAAGAGTCGCAAAGGTTTACCGGCATTGGCAGCAGTGCGTATTATCTGACTCCAAATCCGCCTCTGTCCTCACATCGACGCCTACTTTAGTCTCGTTACAGAGGAAGGTTCTCAAGCCTTACACGTTCTCTGACGGAACAAGTGTACCCGTGGGGGCGCACGTCGCCGTGGCCTCGCAATGCATTCATTCCGACGAAGAGCACTATGCAGACGCGAATATATTCAACGGATGGCGCTTCGCGGAAATGCGGGAGGCGGAGGGGGAGGGTACGAAGCACCAGTTGGTCAGTACAGGAAACGACTACCTAAGCTTTGGCCACGGACGACATGCATGGTGAGTACTAGCAGTTAGGGAAGGCTGTTTTAGTCGGTCTCACCGTGGTGGCAGTCCAGGAAGATTCTTCGCAGCAGCAGAGCTGAAGGC